ACAAATAGAATTGTTTTTATGCGACTATGGCAATATCATTGCGTTGTAAGTGAATCACGTGACCATGACGACGAAGACATTGAATATGAAGGGGGAACAAAATACTCAAGAAGAGGCACAGACAGAGACAGAGATGAAAAAAAAAACAACTACAAAAAACTAGAAACGCTGTGGCAGGAGCTAAACGTAGATTTATTAAAAGCTTGATCGGAAAATGAAGACTGAACAGAGAAGAAAAATTAGAGGAAAAATAAGATAAAATGAAGACAAAAAGACTCAAGCTAAAAAAAGTTAAAGTGTTTTGTACTTCCACAAATCCACCAGTTATAATAGCAGTTTAAAATGAGCAAAGAGTCAGCGGAAGAAACGCTTAAGAAACCTAATTTCTTCCAACTCTACAGCAGCAAGTGTAAGTAACCGCATTCGACCGCAGAAAGAAGCGCGCTACTTAAGTGGCAATATGACATCGCAAGTAGGTACTCATACTACATTTTAGAGCGCTTTGAAGTGCATTACAATGCCTGGCATTTGATGCGCATGCGCCACACACTTTTTCACGCTTTAATGCTATTAACACTATCGTAACGCAGCGATCGCGCGGCAAGTGGCAAGTAGTGCAGAGCAAACTCTATTAACTCGCTATGCCTTGCCATGCTTATGGATTTTTTTCATCTATACAAATGCAGCTATTTACAATAGCTAACCTCCACTTTTTTGCTTTTGGAGGAAAGGCATGGTTTTGAGATCGCTGCTACATGTGGGCTGTGTAAGCGATTGATGGTAATCTTTCATATGAAAGCCTATTATCAATTTAAAGTGTGTATGGTTACATTTTACAAAATTAAAACGATTGTTTATATATGTATGTATGTATGTAATTCAATGAATGTTTTACTACGCACCTTATTTGGATTACGTTGGCGTTTCTTATCGTTGCTTATGCCGGGCATATCTTTGTTTTGGCTGCTGGCTGGCGCATCGGGATCAATTTTTTGGCGATCTGTAAGCAGGAAAGTGAAGGATACGATTTAAAGTGCGCTATGAGTTAAGTAAAATTTGTTAAATTTTAGAGCAATTTACTCATTTTGTAATTTATTTAAACTATGTGGCGAAATCAATTTAAATCAAATCAAATCCTTGCAGTTAATTGCTAACCAAAGATCCTATTAAAGAAAAGTGTTGACAAAATACATCTTCGTTTGAGTTATTTAAAGATATTAATGTGTGTGTGTGTCGACTTCGAAAATGTCGTAGTGTACTGGTAATTTCCATCCGACATCAATTTTTTTTTCAGAGATTTATAGGTTAGCAAAATTACACGGTCTAATAAAAGCTTCGAATTAAATTGAAATAGTAGTTGTACTTTTCAAAAATAATTTAAAATTAAAACGTTATGCTCGTGAATAAGTTCAAATTATGAATATGAATTTCCATAACGGGAATTTGATTTTAAACCGTCCTGCCAGTGAAACTGCACTGATCTTTTAGGAAATACTTCCGAACAAATTGCAGCGCATTGTTCAGAGTACTAGCGATCGGCACAGGAAATGCTTAATGGAGTCTACCTCTCCCTTCTATTTACAACTAGTTTACAACATTGCAGATTCGGTACCATATGCAAAGTCCATCTTGCGCTGGCAAGGTAGAGAGAGCTCGTTCAGGTAGATAGCACAGCTCTCTGATGTCCAGGCAACAAACTCTGACTGAAAACTTTATGAAATACATAGGACAAATACTCTCAAGGTTCGAAATCAGAAAGCCTATTAGGCTTTCTTGGAAAGTCTTTTGACCCGTAGTTGCCTTATACTATTTTTTTTTTCTTTTCATACTAAGAGTAGGAAGGTTCTTTTATCGATGCGTATTCTCCATAAAATACTAGACCAAAAAAGCTTCGCATAAGGCGACGTGTACCACTGCTCTGCCTTGAGTGACCTTTTGGCTACCCGCAAGGGTTTGGATAGTTTTTAGATCTATAGTAGAAAAATTCAATGTAGTCATCCAGCAGTAATAAATTTACTCAAAAAATAGAGCCAGGATGATCGTTTGGAGCTTCAGGCTAGAGTTGGAACAAGGAGAAAGACATCTTCACGAACATATGATTTTATTTATTTGTTTAAAGGATCGCTTTAAAGCTAAGTGTACACGGTGGAGAAATAACGCGAGATTTAGACAAAAATCTCGCTAGAGATCTAGGGGTCTAATGTATGTGCAGATATGTTTATAGATATTGTTTATATTCAATATTAAGACCGAAAAAAATCTTAAATTATTATCGGTTAAAGTCTATTCCGACTACTTCAATTATTTGGAATATCATGCTAAAATTTGAAAACGCATTTCATTTCAATTATACTTTTTATTATTTTCAGAATGGTCCAAAGATATGCTTAAAGTACTTACATTTCAACTCGGTTTCCTCATCATCCAACAGTAATGAAACCACTTCCTTTGGTTTGAGTGTATCGGGCTTGAAATTACCGCCACTTATAACCATACGTTGTATCTGAAAAGAAAAAAAGGGAAAAAAGTATAATAATAATACAAATGTGAAGTTTTTAAAACCAGAAAAACACAACAACAGCTTAAGAAACGTTTTCTTATGTAGGTTTTAAAATTTATCTGCAATTTAAACACAAATTTTGCTCTGAACAAATTTATTTGAAAGGCAGATACATTAAAACCTTAAATTGTTTTAAGAATGAATTAAAGGTGTTTTAAGAATAGAAATATTTTAGAGCAAATAACATAATGATACTATTGAAGTGCTCGATATTATGACTGAACTGGATCAGACATAGTATCGAACTTTACGAAAACAAGGAACGATAGATAGATATCTTCAGATATACATATATTCACAAAGGAATTCCCCTTTGGAGGAATATATATAATTTTCCTAAAAAATGAGCAACTCCTCCTAGATAACAAAAAAAACCAATCCCTTGTCGCTTAATGACGACGGAAAGCGGAAGGCGTAACAGCGGTGTCGCCTTCAACAACATTTAAATTGAATAATTAGTTTCCGGTGTGGAAAACTGAAAACTAAACCTATAGTGAAAACAACAAAAGCAACTACAACAAGAAACCGCCGCCAACAAAAATTTAAAAAAAAAAAACACAGAACAGAACAGCACAAGCGACAAAATTTCATGAAAGAAAAGCAGATCATTTTACTGCTGATCATACAAGTGATCGTCGTGTTGCATGCAACCAAAATCCAAACACATGTGCAACACAACGAACAACAAAAGCATAAATTGTAGCAAGAAGCGGAAGAAGGGACGCTTGGCGGCGGCGACACGCTAAAACGCACGTGCCACGCATGGCAATGAATGCGGGCGGCGTGCACTCACATCCCGCATTTCCTTAAGTTCTTATGTACGTATATGCTTATGTAAGTATGTATCTATGTATATATGTAAGCATGAAAGTAGTTCGCTTTTTAAGTGATTTCAATTGTTTTTGTGCGCTGGCAATTTGAAACTTTTTGCGGTCATAAAAAGTAACTAAATAAAGACAACAGATGTAGTAAATAAATTAGGGTGATTCAAAAAAATACATAAGTCGGAATTTTTCTGCCTCACCCCCTAGGATTTTTCAATATCGAAAGGTAATTTTTTTTAGATCAAAAAAAATGTAGAGTCCGCTCAAAGCGTTCAAAGTTTCCCATGTTTTTCTAAATGGGGAAAGAACAAATGGTATAGAATCCCTTAAAATCAATATTTTGCAATCGACAAACTCTGTTTTTTCTGCAGGACACATCAAAGAGAAATACCCGATTGTTTGTTTAACTATTTTTTAGAATCAACAATTAAAATTGCAACTCTGTAGCTAAATTTGTAAGTTTAAATTACAAAATATTACTTTATTTAAACCATTGCTAGATTTGCTATTTTTAGTTTTTTGGCTGTAATTAGTTTAGATGGGCATGAAAAGCTACAAAATTATAAAAAAAAATTTATTTTTACATTTCTTGGGAGACAAATAAAATAAGTTAATATTAAATGAAAAGTAAATAATTGGTTACTATCCTTTGAAGTCTACTGAAAATAAACTGAGTTTGCCGATTGAAAAATATAAATTTTCAAGGCTTCTTTAGCATTTCTACAAAATTTTTTTTTTTATTTAAAGTACATAAGAAACTTTGAGCACTTTGCGCGACCTCAAAATTTTGTTATTAAAAAAAATAGCGCCTTTTCTTTTGATATAGAACAATTTCTTACCACTAGCATTGAAATTCGGATCTTACTTTTTCCCCTTGCATTTTTGTACCACCCTGATTTACATACACTTGTAAAAGTACTCAGTGGCAAGCTGTAAGATCCGATTCTATATGCTTAATATTATGTGTGGTAAAAAAAAGCAAAAAAAAAAAATACTCACCTCGCTCTTTTCGCGCGCACGCTGCAAAATCCGCTCCTCAATGGTGCCCTTGCAAATCAGCCGATAAACGGTCACCTGTTTCGTTTGGCCCAGACGATGCGCACGATCCATGGCTTGCTGATCGACAGTCGGATTCCAATCGGAATCATAGAAAATTACCTTAAATTAATAAGAGTTTTAATTACTTAGATGTGTGTGTTAAAAATAGTATAAACGAAGACTGGTGAGTTGGAAACTTTAGGACCTAATGTCTTATAATAAGTTGTAAAATTAATTCTGCAATAAAAAGGCCTTGCGAAAGCGGGACAACTGCCATACAAAATCTAAAAAACGTTGATATGGGCGGGTTCGAGACCTAAACCTTTAATGTCGGGATGGGCGGGATCGGTATTGAATATTTAGTCCCGCGCCCATCTCTAATTGAAACGCTATCTCAATGTCTGCATTGAAGTCGATGCTAAGTATCATGTATGTATGTATATAGTGGACTGTCCCATTCTATAAAGGGTTTACAGCGAGGGTCTCAGGTTTGGTACACTCATGGTTCGGAACTTGAGGATGGGAACACTTGGAGCTGGTTATAACACACCATATTCCAGGCGGTAAGTTTCGCAATTGAAGTCTGTGTTCGCGAATGTCTTCGCTGAAGGACTAATGGCGCAACAATAAGGCTTAGTTTTGAATAGCAGAGTTCTTATAATTCTTGAATCGTCATGAATTTAAAGACTCAAAATTCACTATGTTTGTCAATATGGAGGAGTTGCAACAAAGCTACATAATGTCATTGCTATATCTCGAGAACTTAAACATTGTTGAGCAAATGGGAGTCAATGTCAGCAAAATACATTGTAGATTAACGACAGCAACTTATGCCAACAAATATTACACAATTTACGACTTGCTATAACAGACAAATAAATAAAAAAGAATTTATAAGTAAAAAATGCCAAAGAAAAGGAATGAAGATGAAAATTTGGAGAAAAGCTGCATAGTGCCGCTTCGAAGAATGTATGTACGTACCTACATTAAAAGCTTACTTCAAGTACATATACATCCACAGCTAGCGATGCGCGCGCCAACAGCCGGAATTGGCAGTTCCATTGACAGTTCCATTTGCAGCCGAACGCCAGTTTACGGATAGTTAGCGAATAGCTCAGTGAGTGGTTGAGCTGATAGTGGATTTAGTTTCCAGCTGGCTCTGGCCATAGTGTTAGTGCAAACCTCTTGTGATTTATGCATGAACACTTGCGGAATAATTTATCAATGTCAATGGCAAAAGCGCTGCCAAAGCAGAATGCAATCAATGCAGTCGAACTGATGGTGAATAGAAGCCGCAAGCCACTGCTGGTGGGGGGAGGCTATTAGCCGGCGAGACAATGCCGCCAAGTAAATAGTAGTTGATAGTGTAGTTAAACATGTGTTTAAACTTCCCACATACACACATACAATATGAACAACTGTAGGATTTAAGTGACAAAGCGCAGAGAAATGTGCAGAGAATTTGAGAGGAAACGCGGAAGCGCCAAAGGAGCACAGGGAACGGAAGTGAAGTGTATTTATTTGGAGGCGTTAAGCGGCGGTCACTTCAAACGGACAAGGAAGTGGAAGGAAATGGCTCAAGTACCCATTACATTTGTATGTATGTACATTAGGTNGCGGCGGTCACTTCAAACGGACAAGGAAGTGGAAGGAAATGGCTCAAGTATCCATTACATTTGTATGTATGTATGTACATAGTATGTCTGCGTTCATGTTGAAGTCGCTGCAGACGGCAGCAATTTTTATTGTCCACAAGAAAATGTCATTGGACGCTGCCAGCGTATTAATAAATGATTTTGGTTGTGGGCAAATTTTCAGAAAATTTGTAGTTTGAGGGAAATTTAAATCGAAAAGGATTAAGTGACAATGAACGGTTGCTAATTACTAAGCAGAGCAAAGAATTACTTTAACCTTAAATTCATTATTTGTTGCACGTCGTATAAAGTCAAGAATGCGCTAAAACATAAACAAAATGTTTATTTTCTTAATTTTTAGTAAAATCTAGGAGTGTCAAGGGATATCTGGGAATGCAGTTATACCCAGTCCCCACTCTACGTCCCCGTAATGCTTTCTGAATAAAGTTGTCGAGAAGAGGTTACCAACTCTCATGAAACATGTGATCACGACAGAAAGGGAGGAAGCATTAGTAGGTCACTTAAACCCTTTCAGTACAAGCGTCCAATTTATTGGACAAACTTTTTTGATGCTTAAAGCTCTATTTTCATAAATCAGAGCTTTTGTTGTTAAAATAACAGTTTTTTGTGAAAATTATATAATTTTTCTTTAAAGTGTTACAAAAGTCGATAGTGAATACATAGCAAACAATTTTATTTTTTCGGCGGAATGTTTCGCGAAAAAACTAATAAAAATAATTAAGATCACTTTCCTAGAATACCACTGTCCAATATGAAGGATGCTGAATTACGGTAAAACTTACAGTTTTATCAATATTTAATTTTTAATTAGCCGGTATAAAAATTTTCAGATTTTTAGCTTCAACGGCTAATTTTTTTGTACTCAAAGGGTTAAAAGCCTAATGAAATCTGCAGCGAGAGTTTGTTTCCGAGCAAGGGGCTTGCTAAAAATTGACTCAAAATCAGGTTACGTGCTAGGTTTAGATCTATCAAGTTAAAAAGGTTTCAATACAAAAGGCCAATGGGACTCGGAAGGTACCCACTATTTGTAGTGACCATAACGGCAAATGTGAGTACTGACTTCAAAGCAACATCCTTC